AGAAAAGTGGTTTGGGGTTTAAGATGGACTGAGTGAGGCTTGCAGCTGGCTTGGGATTTTTTAGTTCTGGTCTGATTTTGATGCAGCATTTTTTTTGCCCAGACACTATTAGTTTATATAAAGCCTACTATAAATCTTTTACTACTTTCTATATAGGGGAACAGGAAATAACTGCGAATGCAGTTTAGTCTAAGGGTGGGATATTTTGACCCAAGGTGGTGGAAATCAGTTCCTACTTTATGGCAGCATGTCATGAGAATTGCTGATGCTTCAGAGGACACAGAGGAGCCTGGGTGCCCTGGAGGGTCACACGTTGGGCTTGTGGGCAGTGACGGGTGCTGGGGGAAGGGATTCTCTGCTCAGGGCTGCCTGGGAAGGATTCTCTGGGAAGGGTTGCCTGCAAAGGGATTCCCTGGGAAGGGATTCTCTGCTCAGGGCTGCCTGGGAAGGAATTTTCTTCTCAGGGCTGCATGGGAAGGAATTCTCTGCTCAGGGCTGCCTGCAAAGGGATTCTCTGCTCAGGGATTCTCTGCTCAGGGCTGCCTGCAAAGGGATTCTCTGCTCAGGGATTCTCTGCTCAGGGCTGCCTGGGAAGGATTCTCTGGGAAGGATTCTCTGCTCAGGGCTGCCCTGGACACAGACATGTGCACGATGGGCTCTGGCTGTCCTTGCAGCAGCCTCCATGGCAGTCAGCTCTGCAGCTGGCTTGGTATCTTTCACCTGGTCTCAGTTTTTGTTTTGCTCAGCATGAGAGAGGACTGACTAAATCTTTTGTTCCCGGGATAGATTCAAACTCAGGGCAAACAGCAGTGGTCTGGGACCTGCCACAACACAGATGGTTCAGAGAGCAAGAACAGAAAACCAGAATTTTGGCCCTTGCCTCTGACTGGGTGAAAGAGCCAGCACTGCTTGCAGCTTGGGCCAGTGATGGGGATTTGATGCCTTTCTGAGCATCATTTGTGTACCCATGCCCTGCCTCAGCCCAAGAGCCACTCCTGGCCTGGCTGCCAGATTGCAGGCTTTGTTTCTGCCCAGTCCAGGCAACTTCGGAGGGTTCAAGCATGTTTTAGTGTCAGAATCATGGAAATAATCATGAGCAAACGCTCAACAGATGACAGGGAGGAAAAATTATAAATCAAAAGTGGGTGAGATCTTTGTCTACTTCAAAACAGTGGAATTGCTTCTGGTCAGATGGCAGCTCCAGGGAGATAATGGCACTGTCTCTGACAGCAGCTGGACAAGTCTGTCCCATGCTGAATTCTCTTTGATTGAAATGGCACTGGCAATTAACCCCTTAGCTTTAAATGTGCCCACTGCAATAAACATAAAGAGAGAGAATGTGTGCTCAAGGAACATCTTTGTTGTCTTCTACGTTCAAAAGGTCACTTGGAATGTAATTTTTATTTTATTTTAGTGTGGGGCGGAGTGAACAGTTCTTGCTTTTCAAACAAAATAAAGCTTTTCCTTGAGATTTTTATATCTGGAACACTGAAGTAGTCCAAAGGCTGGTCCTGTACCAAAGACGTTTTCTCAACAACATCTTCATTTTCATGTGCCATTTATAGTAAATGAAGACATGTTTGTGGGAGTTCCGATAGATGAAGAGGGTGCTCATGCAAAAAAAACTGGAGGACTGTTTTTGAAACTTAAATCTGATTATGCATATATGCTATTTTTGTTCCTCTCTTAGTTATCTGTCAAGGAACATTTGGGCAAATGAATTTTCATTATGGATTTTCAGCGTGCAGGCTGGAATGCTGGCAGAAAGATATCCCAAATACGGCTTTTATATACTGCTTTTCCGCGGGATTTTCAAGGTTAGCTGAATTCTGAGTTCTGGTTAGTCTCTGTGAAAATGCAATGTCTTGTGACCTCATAGGACAGATCACAATGAGGCAGCTTCACTTTGATCTGAAGATCAAACACTGCTTTCCAAACTGGGAATATTTATAAAGTAATGGGCGAGTCTCAGGAAAGAAAACAAGCCTCACTCACGACAGTATTGGAAGCGGAAAGATGGCAAAATTCGTAGTATGTTACTGGTGAGTTGAGTAGGATGAGTTATTGCTAATAATACCCAGCTGGCTTCTCCTGTGTTGGATTTCATATGTCTTATGTGGACTGGCAGATGAGGGTAGTGGTGGAACTTGTGAATCGCAGCTATTTTTACCCTAGCGTTAAACTGAAATAAGAAATGAGGCGTGTTTGTTTAATCTGCCCGTGTGCACGGGCTGCCTCATAAACAAACGTGTGTGCACACAGCAGCTGCTGCAGCCGGGGCAGCCGTGGCACTGGGGCTGGCACAGCACAGGGACACTGTTCCTGCAGGTGACAGCCTGCACAGGGCGCTGGTCACTGGCACGGGGCTGGCACGGCCTTCCGTGGGACAGGCATTCCCGGCCGAGGAGCTGCTGGGGCTGCTGTAGCCGAGGGAAGGGCTGCAGTGGCTGCAGAGCTAAGGCAACCCTGGCAGGAGCTGGGCAGCACCTGCTGCTGCTGGTGCCAGGCCTTGTCCCGCTGTGTGCCCGACAGGGCCTGGAGCGCTGCTGCTGAGGAGGGGAGGAAGGGCAAACCACAAACCCCTCAGCAGCTGGCCGAGCCGGGAGCACAGCGGGAGCCTGGCTGTCACAGCCGTGCCTGGTGTCCCCTGGAGCCTGGGCTCTCACAGCCTTCCCTGGTGTCTCTGTAGCCCCCCGAGAGCCAGCCAGGGACACA